AGCCTTTAGATCCTCGCCATCCAGAGAGATGACTGGTTTACTTTTCTGGTTTTAAAAGACGCGTACTTGTCAGTAATGGTATCTCACTTAAGTCGGTGCTTTCTATGTCTTTGCTGGAAAGGACGGACATGCCAGGTTACTTGCCTTCCTTTCTGTCTGAGTTCCAACCCTTGGCACATCTCCAACCAAAGGGATTTTTTTTTGTCTGATTTACCTTCTTTTTTGTGATGATGCCTCACAATTATTTTTCAGGCACAGGCCTGACTGTCGAGGGGGTGTGGCCTGACCGTCAATGTAGGTAGAAGCTCAGGTAAAGAGCTCCGTCGCTGAAGCCTTCAAAAAAGCACTTTTGGATGCTGAAAAAATATAAACCTAGAGAAATATTCACCTAATATACCTTTTTTGAATCGTGAGCCTGTGCAGCCTCCCTCTGTCTTTTATATTGGTATTTCAGCATTTATTGACATTTGCATTGCTCCCAGCTTGCTCCTTATTCCTTGTTTGCCTTGTTTGTCTCTAACCTGCTAAGCTCACTACGCTTTATCTTTTATTTTATTTTGCTCTTTGCCATCCATACCTAATTATATTATATGTCCCTGAGCCTTAACTCACCACCTATGAAATCCTCCCGGAAGGGGTCCAAGCTGAAGCCCACGGGTAGCATACTCCACACTGTGTTCCAACCGGCCTTGAGATCCACACACGTAAAGGAAGATGCCGCAAAGCCGATGGTCGCAAATACCGCAAACACCGTGGCGGAGGCGCCGGACAGCTGTGATAGCCATAAAGACCCAGAAGAGGGAGCTTCAGGTATAGTCCTTCAAGCAGCTGCTTCTGCAGTTGGCATCTCAGGGCTGGAAGAAATACAATGTATCTAGGCACAAATGAAGGAGGATAGAATGTTCCTTGCTGGGGAAATAGAGAGGAACGCTCAGGAGATTAGGATGGAACTTGGAACTCGGACAGCTACTTTAGAGGTGAAGGTAGAGGCTGCCACTAAAGCACATAATGCTCTTTTGTCATAGAGCTCTGAATGGGGTACAAGGCTAGATGCTTTGGAAATGGCTTTTGAGGACCTTATAAATTGGTCCAGACTTAATAATATCAAAATTAGAGGCATACCTGAAACAAGAGATGAGGACCGAGTGCAGAATATGGTCTTAGAGATCTTTAAACACCTATTACCAGATATACCTGACCCTAGGTGGGAAATTGATAGGGCACATTGTTCAGCAGGTGCAACACGTAGAAATGATGAGCGCCCTAGAGACATAATAGTAAGATTCCATTACTATAGCACTAAGGATGCTATTGTGCGTAAATGCAGAGGGATGGAGGTTATATATCGGGAGAAGGCGCTTCAGATATTCCAAGATCTATCTCACACTACTCTCTCAAAGAAACGGCAATGGAAACCAATCAATGAACATCTGCAACTTATTCGCATTGCCTTTGCTTAGGGTCACCCCTTTAAATTACTTGCTTTCCACAATGATTAAACCAGAGCTTTATTGCCATCGGGGAATCCAAGTAGATTCTTCCAGACAATGGGCCTGGATACCCCAAAGGGAGCACCACCTTTATTTCAACAAAAGACCTTACCACCCCCTCTACCTTGGGAATGGTACGAGGTGAGGGAGAATTAAATTCACAATGAGATGCATGGCTCTCACTTCTCCAATTCCTTAATCTATTGCCTTGAATTCAATAAATGAAAGGGAATGAAAGGGATGAGGAAAGATTTAAGGGGGGGGGGGTCCAGAATGGGACATTATATTATTTTGCAATAAGGATAATATTAATATTAACAGGATATATTGGAAACTGTGTTTTGTGGTTTAAATTATATATTTTGATCATGATCATGGTACATGTATTGATAAGTAGGTGTATATGAGTATATGTAGATGCGTGGATATGCATATATATATATATATATATATATATACACACACGTGAACGACACGTGCTGGTGTATGTACACACTTAAATGTATATTTTAAAGGTTTGTGCACATGTTAGTCTAATTTTTCACACAAAAAATGTATAATAAAATGTATAATAAAATAATAAACTTAATTTTGAATAAAAATAAAGATGCTTTGAATAGGTTTAGGATGATTTAAGACATAGACATATTGAGTAGGCATTAGGTATTCGGGTAGCTATATATATCTTCTCAGCAGTAAGGTGAACTTAAAGGGACACTATAGTCACCTGAACAACTTTAGCTTAATGAAGCAGTTTTGGTGTATAGAACATGCCCCATGCAGCCTCACTGCTCAATCCTCTGCCATTTAGGAGTTAAATCCCTTTGTTTATGAACCCTAGTCACACCTCCCTGCATGTGACTTGCACAGCCTTCCATAAACACTTCCTGTAAAGAGAGCCCTATTTAGGCTTTCTTTATTGCCAGTTCTGTTTAATTAAGATTTTCTTATCCCCTGCTATGTTAATAGCTTGCTAGACCCTGCAAGAGCCTCCTGTATGTGATTAAAGTTCAATTCAGAGATTGAGATGCAATTATTTAAGGTAAATTACATCTGTTTGAAAGTGAAACCAGTTTTTTGTTTCATGCAGGCTCTGTCAATCATAGCCAGGGGAGGTGTGGCTAGGGCTGCATAAACTGAAACAAAGTGATTTAACTCCTAAATGACAGTGAATTGAGCAGTGAAATTGCAGGGGAATTATCTATACCCTAAAACTGCTTTATTTAGCTAAAGTAATTTACGTGACTATAGTGTTCCTTTAATTCAAGGCTTCAGTTAGACGGGAGCGGATACACTTCATCCCATGGCCGATGTAGACCTGGGAGGACTGTGTCCCCCAATTTTTTTCTGGCATCTGGTAAGTCCAAGAGGTATCTTTTGTATATACTTTTTTTTTTGTCGAGGTGTGGACCACTCATTTAGGACTACTAAAACTGTCAGCGCTTATTGTGCATCAACTCTGGCATTGATACTTGACAAATTACTATGGCTGATAAGATAGTTTCTTTAAATGTAAAAGGCCTCAATTCACCTGAGAAAAGAAAGCTGATGTTCAAAGAATTAAAAAGAATGCAGGCTCATATAGCTTTTTTTTACAAGAAACTCACCTTAACAGATCTCATGTATTATCTCTAATGGATAAAATGTATGATAACGCTTATAGCTCGAATGCCATTCGTAAACATCTTGATCCATAAATGATGCCAGTTTAAAGTATTAAACACGTTGCAGGATAGAGAAGGCAAAGAGACAGGAGATGGTGTATCTAATAAATGATGCGAAACGTGTGCATCAATGGGATATCTAAATGGCCAACGGACAATCTATGTTGAACAAGGTATACCAAAAAATGAACGAAAAAAATAATAAAGTTTTATTGACAGAAAAAGTAACAAAAAAAACCAGGATAGAGAAGGCCGATACATTTTAGTATCTGGCATAATGGGTCCCCACAAGCTACATCTACTTAATATATATATGCCCCAAATGTCTCAGATGCTAGATTTTGGGACACTATAAGCCAATTTATTAAATCTATCCAGTCAGATTTTTTTGTCCAGCAATAGACAGGAGTTCTAGGCCTAGAGTAGTTCGGTCTCAGGGATGGGGAGGTCAGGATAGATTGTTTTTCCAGTTTATTTCCGCCCGTAAGCTTATTGACATATGGAGGGCTCACCACCCTGACATACCAGGTTTTACTTTTTATTCATATCCACATGGTACATAATCCAGAATAGATATGTTTTTTGCAAATTCAGAACTTGCTTCTTATCTCTACAACTCACAAATTAACAATATTACCTAGTCAGATCATGCCGTTATTGCTGTTTTCATAAAAGGTTTATCAGTCAAACCTACCTACTCAATGCGCCTAAATACTTCTCTTTTGAGGGACCTCTCAGTTAGAGCAGACATCACAAAGGCACTTTCAAATTATATTCTAGAAAATAATACACCTGATATTAGTAAAACCACTTTATGGGCAGCTCATAAAACTGTAATTAGAGGAGAATTGATTAAAATTGCCTCATATAAAAAAAAGATAAAATCAGAATCATTGTTTAAGTTACAGAAATATATACATAAGCTGGAACAAAAACACAAAACATCCCCATCAGATCAAACACTACAGGACCTTAAAATTAGTAGATTCAAAATTAAACCTCTTTTATTAGATGAAGCTGCATGGCAGTAATTATTCTCAGTTTGGTAAGGAAACTTTCCAATTACTGTATATGAGATGCTCAATCTCTAGTTCTCTCAGAAGTGGTGAACGACATCTACCAGTTTTGCATTTGGTGCAACATTATACTTTGGGCAGGGCAACAGAGATTGGACGTTTCCTTTTATTTTCTTTCAAAACAGCAAAATATGAAGCCTCCTGTCATGTGTAAAATTGAAGATTATGCTTAGCTTCATTGTACCTATAATCTTTATTTTAGTAATGACAGGAGGCAAATATTTTCATCCCTTGGGAGATATATTATGTTTTTCTTTTTGCTATGGTTTCCTTTTTTCACCTTTACTTGCAGGGCCGCACTGGGGATACGAAGCAGCCCTGGAAAAAAATCTATGCCAGCCCCATAAATCATTGTGCTATGTAGGGTGTTATATATTAAAGGACCACTATAGTGCCCTGAGGGTGCCCCCACCCTCAGGGTCCCCCTCCCGCCCGGCTCTGGAAGGGTGAAAGGGGTAAAAACTTACCTTTTTCCAGCACTGGGCGGGGAGCTCTCCTCCTTCTCTCCTCCTCGTTCCTCCTCCTGGGCTGAATGCGCACGTGCGGCAAGAGCTGCGCGCGCATTCAGCCAGTCACATAGGAAAGCATTTACAATGCTTTCCTATAGACGCTGGCGTGCCCTCACTGTGAAAATCACAGTGAGAAGCACGCAAGCGCCTCTAGCGGCTGTCAATGAGACAGCCACTAGAGGAAATAGAGGAAGGCTTAACCCATTCATAAACATAGCGCTCTGAAACTGCTATGTTTATGAAAAAATGGGTTAACCCTAGCTGGACCAGGCACCCAGACCACTTCATTAAGCTGAAGTGGTCTGGGTGCCTAAAGTGGTCCTTTAATGTATGTATATATATATATATATATATATATATATATATTATTGATACATTTCTTCTTCTAATTCACAATATTAGTCCTTTCAGGGTAATTAAATTATACAGTAAAGCATACTCACACACAGACACAGACAATCTTACTGATGCACACAAATAGGCTCATTGACAGACAATCTCAATGACACACACAGACAAGGTTACTGGCAGACACACAAATTTAGGACAGACAAACTCTGATACACACACAAGCTTACTACAGACAAGCTCACTGTCACACACACACGCTCACTACAGACAAGCTCACTGATGCGCACACACTCTCCCTACAGACAAGCCCATTGACACACACAGAAGAGCTCACTACACACAGATTCATTACAGACAAGCTCACTGACACATATGGTCACTACAGACAAGCTCACTGACACACACGCTCACTACAGACAAGCTCACTGACACATATGGTCACTACAGACAACGCTCACTGACACACACGCTCACTGACACACACACGCTCACTACAGACAAGCTCACTGACACACACGCTCACTACAGACAAGCCCACGATCACACCCATGCTCCTTACAGACAAGAGCTCACTAACACACACACATATGATCCCTACAGACAAGCTCACTGACACACATACAAGCTCACTCACTAGCAGGCACACACACACAAACTCACTAGCAGGCACACACACACAGAGGCAGACAGTCACTGACACGAGGCAAACATCCCACACACGCCACAGACAGGCAGACAGCCACACACACACAGGCAGGCAGACAGCCACACACACAGGCAGACAGCCACACACACAGGCAGACAGTCACACACACAGGCAGACAGTCACACACACAGACAGACAGTCACACACACAGACAGACAGACACACACAGACACAGTCACACACAGACAGTAACATACACAGGCAGACAGACACAGGCAGTCACACACAAAGGCAGTCACACGCACACACAGACAGTCACACACAAACACACACTAACAGTCACACACACACAGTCACAGTTACACACAGTGTCACACACTCACAGACAGTCACAGTCACACACACACAGTCACACACACAGACAGTCACAGTCACACACAGGCAGTCGCACACAAAGGCAGTCACACGCACACACAGACAGTCACACAAAAACACACACTAACAGTCACACACACACAGTCACAGTTACACACACAGTCACACACACACAGTCACACACACACAGTCACACACACACAGACAGTCACACACACACACACACGGTTATGGTCACACACAGTCACGGTCACACACACACACACACACACAGTCACGGTCACACACACACACAGTCGGTGCACACACACAGAAGTCGGTCACACACACGCACAGACAGTCCGCACACACACAGACAGTCACACACAGACAGTCACACACAGACAGTCACACACAGACAGTCACACACAGACAGTCACACACAGACAGTCACAGTCACACACAGACAGTCAGTCACACACACACAGACAGTCAGTCACACACACACAGTCACACACTCACACAGACACACTGACCTCCTTCTTCCCTCCTGCTTGGAGCTCCTGGAGGCTTGTTGGGGAAGCAGGGACTCCTTCCTGCTTCCCATGCTGCAATTAGCCGGCCCCGCCGCACAGTAAGCTCCGCCTCAGCCGCACGCTAAGCTCCGCCCCCGCCGCACAGTAAGCTCCGCCCCCGCCGCAAATTTTTTTTTTAATTATTTTTTTTTAAATGATCCCGGGTGGCCATGTGTGAGCCGGCCGCCTGGCTCCCCCTGCTCCCATGGGGCTATGTGCGGCCGCACAGCTCACACATGGCCGCCGGGATCACAGGAGCTGTCAGACCGGCCCCAGGTGCCGCGGCCCACCGGGAAATTTCCCGGTATCCCGGTGGGCCAGTCCGGCCCTGATCCCACTTAAGTTTCCATACTTAAGTAAGAGTATGTGAAAAGTAGTTAGGGTTGCCACCTTTCTTGGAAAAACATACCGGCTTTACTAATTTGCATAATAAAATATGTATGGATGACATCACATGATGTAAATCACAAGGAGTGACATAAGAGAAAATGCTGTAAAATCACCAAAAACTACTTAGTTTGATTCTGCTGTATAGATGGATTCCTCCCAGTGCCCCCATGTCTCCCAGTGCCCTCATGACTCAGTGCCCCCATGTGTCAATTACTCCAGGTCTCAGTGTTCCTATGTATCAGTGTCTCAGTGCCCCAGGGGACACTTGAAGACATGGGGACACAGACACTAGAGACACTGGCTGGGAGACATGGGGACATTGAGACATGGGGATACAGAGACACCGGGGCCACAGACACTAGGGACACTAGCTTGGAGACATGGGGACATTGTGACACTTGAGGCAATGAGAGACATGGAGGCACTAGGAGACATGGGGACAGTGAGACACTGGCAGACTAGGGGTCACTGGGAGACTAGAGGCACTGAGACACCAGGGACACATGGGGACACTGTGTCCCCATGTGTCTGTGTCATAATGTCTCCCAATGTCCCTTAGTGTCTGTGTCCCCATGTCTCCTTGCAGCATTTCCCCCCATCCCTTACTTCCCTGAGCTCTAGGCTGTCTCTGCAGGGTGGGAATTGCTGTCTGGACTCTCTGTAGCTGCACCCCTGCAGATCAGTGAGTATAGATAGGCAGGGAGGGATATGCTGGAACTTCCTATCCCTGCCTGTCTCCACACACAGTGACCCCTACTGGCCAGTACTGGTATTGCAGAGTAATCTATTGTTTATACTGAGAAAAATACCAGCATTTGTAGTGCCACTATCACTGTAATATTGGCACTAGCGAGGCAGCCTCAAATACTGGCTGTGCTAATAAAATAAAAGCCAGGTGGAATCCTTAAGAGTAGTGTGTGAAAAAAAAAAATGTAAAAAACAATTTTTTTTTTTAATCAATGGGCCTATTCCATGGGCCTGGGCCTGGAGCTGCAGCTCCATCAGCCCCTATGTTAATCCGGCCCTGTTTAGGGGTTAAATAGAAGAACTCTGAAAGACAACACTTAC